AAACTTTTTGGGCCGAGGGCCACATCAGGGAATAGAAATTGTATGGAGGGCCATGAATGCTCACAAAATTGGGGTTGGGATGCGGGAGGGGGTGTGGGCTCTGGGGTGGGGCTGGGGATGAGGAGTTTGGGGTGTAGGAGGGTCTTCTGGGCTGGGACTGATGGGTTCGGAGGGCGGGAGGGGGATCAGGGCTGGGGCAGGAAAGGGTTCAGGTTCTGGTTTGGGGTGCAGGAGGGTGATCCAGGCTGGGATCGAGGGGTTTAGAGAGCGGCAGGGGGATCAGGGCTGGGACAGGGGGTTGGGGTGTGGGGAGAGGCTCAGGGGTGTGGCCCCCAATCCAACGCCCCCTCGGAGCGGGCTGAGCCGTGTGGTACAGCCCCGACCCTGCGCCCAGGCTGCAGCGGGGCCAAGCTGCATGGTGTGGCCCCAGACCCAGTGCCCCGGTCAGAGTGGGGCCGCACCATGCGGCTCAGCCCCCAACCCAGCGCCCCAGGCGGAGCGGGACCAAGCCATGTGGTGTGGCCCCCGACCCAGCGCCCCAGCCGGAGCGGGATTGAGCCGCGTGGTGCGGTCCCAGACCCAGCACCCCAGCCGGAGAGCCAGAGTGGGGCCGAGCCGTGTGGTGCAGCCCCGATCCAGTGCCCCAGGCGTAGTGGGGCTGAGCCGCTTGGTGCAGCTCAGGGGCCATCTGAAAACTGCCTGCGGGCCGTAGTTTGCCCACGCCTGCTATAAATCATGGTTTTAATAAAGACTCTGGATTGATGGTTTATTACAACAATCTATAACTCACGCACTAACCGTCCCCCCTTTTTTGTCCCATGACTGGAGAGGTGTTAATGGACCACTTCACCTTGAATGGTCTCTTAGAATATGTGTTAACTACTTAGGCTAAACAGTCTGTTCCACCTTTTATTTATCTGTGAGACTCTGAGGGCAAGTCTGCACTACAAAATTAAGTCAACTTAAGTTATGTCGACGTACAGCCACCGCAGTAATTACATCACTTTTGCATGACCACATTACTCTCCTTGTGGTGGTGGTGTGCATCCTCACCAGGAGTGCTTGCACTGATTTAACTGTCAGTGTGGGGCAGTTTCTGAAAGGCAGCAACAGTCGATTGAACCAACGACCTAATTACATTGACCTAAGTGCTACGCCTCTCGCAGAAGTGGAGTTATTAAGTCAGTGTAATGGATAAGTTACATTGGTGGGAGCTACATTTTTGGCCATGTCTACACTACCGCTTATGTTGGCAAAACTTATGCTGTTGAAGGGTGAGAAAAAGCTGCATTGGCACAGCTGTGCCACTGTAAGGTCTCTAGTGTAGACATAGCCTCAGTGTAGACGGTTACAGAATTAGGTTAATGTAAGGCAGCTTACGTTGACCTCTCTCTGCAGTGTAGACCAGGCCTGAGTACTTTTCTCAGACCTGAAGAAGAGCTCTTTGTAAGCTCAAAAGCTTGTTTCATACCAACAGAAGCCAGTCCAATAAAAGATATGACCTCATCCACCTCGTTCTCGCTAATATCCTGGCTACAACACGGCAAACAACAATTTGATTCCAAGACAGCTCTGAAGATCAGTGCTGTAATCTATGGCATTGATATAACTATGCTTTACTGTTCACCAGAAATAAATTGTCATATCAACAATGTTTCTAGAGCAAATCTGTATGCAACACAAAAATCTGAATGTAACTCTTCTGCAGCTTAACCCTCGACTAGATGGGTGCATTCGTGCCTGGAACCTGATGAATCAGGGAAATTCAGGCATAAAAGAAGTTATTCAAAAAAAACAAAGCAAACACTGTTTAGTAACTGTGGAGAAAGGGTCCTACTACCCTGGCACTGGCATGGCAGAATTTCATATAAACTATAGTAAGTATTTTTCCGCCTTCTCCAACATTTCTTTATGCTGGACTTATGATTGAACTAACGAATGGCAAAAGAGTATGGACTTGCCCTAGTCAAGGGTGCATGAGGGGAGGTTCCCACTAATTTCAGAGGGAGTTTTGCTTGAATAATGAGTGTAGGTTCTGGCCTCACACGTTATCAGTTTAATTTCTGCAAAGACCTCTATCAGCGTGGACTTGATCAAACGGGTCCTTTCCATCTCTCAAGGGTCTGATTCAGCTCCCATTTTATCAATGGAAGTTTTGCTATTGACATCACTGAGAGTGGTTTGAGCTCCAAATGAGATAGTCATATGGAATTATATTTGAGTACGATACAGTGCGGGTGCTGATTGTGATACTAAGTAACGTGGTGCATTATTAGTGTGAAATTAAGAAAAAAAGCAGTTAATAAATATGGGCATCCCTTTTAGCTGCTGAACTTGCAAACACTTTAGCACCTGTATAACTTTTACTCGTGAGAATTCCCATTGGAGCAATGGAACTATTCCTGTGTGTGATGTTAAATGCGTGTTTAAGCTATCAACCTTCTGCTCAGTAGCAAAATTTTATGAGCAACCTGTCAGGCTTTTTCTGGCTTAACCTTATAAACAGCCCTCTTATGAATGTGGCAGTGAGAGAGGTAACAAAAAATAAAAAAGGAAGACCAGCAAGCTGAAAAGGCAAGAAAAAAACCCCAAACTTAAAATGCCTCTGTCAATATATTTAATATTAGAAACTTTGGAGAAAACTAGAAATGTAAAGCTCACCTTTTCACTGCAGATTTAGCTTTATTTTTCATAGTGGGTATATAGATTAAATTGTAGGAAGAAAATGCTTGTAAATAACTGAATAGTATTTGGATGCTTGTAGAAGGTGTTTTTCAGGTTCATTAATTTCATTCTTTTTTTTTTAAACAGATAATCTTACCAATGACAAAGAATGGCTAATAAACATAACATTGACTATTCGTCCATCCACAGGCACTGGTGTGATGTTTGCCTTGGTCTCTGGCAAAACAGTGCCTCTTGCTTTGTCCATAGTAGACTCCAACTCCCCTAACTCACAGGTGATCTTACTCTTATCACAGTAACTCTGGGTCAGATCCTTATCTGGTGTAAATCAGTATAGCTCTTTTGACTTAAACTCTCTGTCTTCATTCTCCATCTGTAAAATGGGACTAATCTTAGTTACTTACTATACTTCACAAGGGCGTTGTGAGGCTGAATTAATTGTTTGCAAGGTGTTCCACTAAAACAGTGATGAACTGCATAAAAAAGCCAATATATAAATAGGTCTTGCTGTCCTTGACTTTCCCTCTATTCCCAGTTGTGACAAGTAGCATGACAGAAGGCAGTATGTGCTTATATGTATATGAGGGTCAATACTTCTTTTTAAACTGCCTAAAGTAGATACTAGGGGTGAACTGTTGGCCTCATTACAGTCAATGTCAAAACTTCCATCGACTTCCACAGGACCAGGATTTAACCCCAGAAATCTAGATCAAGATTTTCTAACATGAATACCTAAAGAGAGACTCCTACATATAAAATTTAGGCACCTAAACAGGTGGCTTGGTTTTTCAAAAGTGCTGAACAACCCAGCAGCTTCTATTGACTTCAATGGATTTCCCAATTTCAGGCACCTATTTTGAAAAACTTTGGCCGTAATGTTTCCTCCATTTTCTCCTTACAAATGTAAAATGCATCAAAACTAAATAAAATAAGTGCTGGAGTTCTGTGTGAAATGTTTTTTATTCTGTTGCCTAGGAAATCATTGTGACTATTGAGAACGTCATTGTTGCCCGGCTGGAGTCAGAGAGGTTGTGTACCTCCAAAAGAACGCTGCTAGGACTCAGAGCAAACAAACAGCTGCTTGAACTGACTGCTGATTCACAAACACACAGCATCAATTCTGAGCAAGAGCAACAACTATCCATCCTGGATCAAGTAATGAAGGGACCTATTGTTACCTACTTAGGGGGCATTCCAGGTGAATTTTATTTCTTTTCATTGATGTGAATGAATTCGTCTTACTCAAAATCCTGGGTTGTTGTGGTGTGGTGGTTTTTTTTTTTTTTAAACTAATTACCTATTTTTATCCTTTATTTTTGAGTCAATTTGCATAGCTTTTGATGCAACCTGATACTTCAATAGTAACATTAAGGAGCTATCTTAACAGCCCAGCAGCAGAGCTTCTCTCTAAAGGTCTATTTTTGGAAGTGACCCTATGGCACCTATTCCCAGGAGAAAATGGTGGTGTGTTGTGAGGTTTTTTTTGTTTTGTTTTGTTGTGCTTAAGAGTGATGAGAACTCCTGAAGTGCCATCTACTGATAGTTTCAAGAAACTGCAGCAGCTTTAGATATTGTCTAAACCATCCATTTAAAAATAACTGAAGGAGAGAAAGATGGGAGGAGGAAACAGGGAAAATAGGGATACAACAATCATACTTTCAGGTGGTGGTTGACAGCCTCCATGATAGGGAATTTGAAAGTTAAGGGGATTACTCAATGTTTTGTTTAAACAATTCGTAAGTGAATTTTCAGCCTAACAACTCCTAACTTGTGCAACCATATCTGAGCAGGCATGCTATGGATGCGCATCAATGCCATGAGGCTTTAGATTTGGAAAATTATATGCTAACTTGAAACCTGGGGTGGGGGAGACACCTAAATCATAGGGAGGTTCTTAGGCTAAATTATCATTGGTAAAAGTTTTTGACATCCTCTGGCTAAAGGGACTATAGGGAAAGACAAAGTATTAGCTTCCCCAGAGATCTTAGAAGTTTGATAGACAGTTTTGAATTGGCATCTATTTTCTGTGTTGTATGTTATGTAAAAACAAACCTGCCCCAAGAGGCATATCCAGCCCCGTTCTCTGTAGTTTCAGTGGGAGCGGAGTGAGTCAGCTGCATGAGAGGTATGGAGGGTAGAGTTGCCAATTTTGGTTTGACGTATTCCTGGAGGCTTCATCACATGACAATCTTTAATTAAAGATTAATTTTTAATTCCTGGAGATTCCAGGACAATCCTGGAGGGTTGGCAACCCTAGTGCTGGGGGCGGGGGAGAGGAAAGGGGAGGTGCATACCCCTTGCATGGCAAGGAAACTAGCTGTACATGGGGTTTCTTCAAGGCAGTGCACAGGTAAGGCCAGCACATGGGCATCTGGGGCCAGAGAATCAACTGCTGCATCCTCTCCACCCTCCCACCACTGTAGAACAGTGGCTCTCAACCTTTCAGGATGACTATACCCCTTTCAGGAGTCTTATTTGTCTTGCATACCCCCAAGTTACTTAAAAATTACTTGCTTACAAAATCAGACATAAAAATACAAAAGTGTCACAACTCTATTACTGAAAAATTGCTTAGTTTCTCATTTTTACCATATAATTATAAAATAAATCAATTGGAATATAAATATAGTATGTACATTCCAGTGTACAGTATATAGAGCAGTATAAACAAATCATGGTCTGTATGAAATTTTAGTTTGTACTGGCTTCGCTAGTGCTTTTTATGTAGCCAGTTGTAAAACTAGGCAAATATCTAGATGAGTTGCTGTACCCCCTGGAAGAGCTCTGCGTACCCCTGATTGAGAACCACTGCTGTAGAGGAAGCACATTACAACTGCAGACGCTACTGCAACCTTGGGGCTGCATTGTCAGTCACCTCTGCAACCTCCTAGTGTGTGGGAAGAGAGGAAGAAATCTGTTCCCCACAAGTCTTATTGCACATCCTGGTAATGAGGGTGTGAATGTATTGCGGAATGTAGGCACAAAAGAGGGTTACAAGAAGACATGGGAAGGATATTTGTCCTGTCTTAACATTTGAATATGTATTGTGATGGGGCAAGGCCAGATGGCTACAGTAAAGTAGTGAGGAACAGGTATGTTAGCCCCAGGCTAAACAAATCCCTGGTACCATGGTAACCAAATGTCAGTTGCTGCAGGTTAATCAAGACACCTGTGGCCAATTAAGATCCTTCTAGAAGGCAGTGGAAATAGCTAGATTGATTGGGACACCTGAAGCCAGTCAAGGACTGGCTGGAACTAGTTAAAAGCCTCCCAGTTAGTCAGTGAGGTGTGGGTGTCAGGAGCTATAGGAGGGAGCTGTGCTGTTGGAGGAATGCAATAGTACGAATCCATATCAGGTGCAAGAAAGGAGGCCCTGAGGTAATTGTGAAGATGATATTGAGTGGGGGCTGCTGTGGGGAAGTAGCCCAGGGAATTGTACACATCCTATTTCCAAAAAGTCAGCTGCCAGAGCTGCTAATTTTAGGGTCCCTGGGCTGGAGCCCAGAGTAGAGGGCGGGCCGGGCTCCCCTCCCTGATTAATCACGGATACTGGGAGACAACAGAGACTGTGCGAGGGAGGGTTGTTTCTCCTCACCTCCCTTGTTGGCTTATGATGAAAATGGCTCAGTAAGCTGTGACCCTGGCCTCTCGAGAGAGAGAAGGGCTATGTGGAGGGTCACAGTGAGCCTTTGAGGCTAGCAAAAATCCGCCAGGAAATGCAGGACCCACAGAGTCAAGGACAGAACTTTGTCACAGTATGCAATGGATTGAAAACCAAAATAAAGCTAGCAGCAGCAAACTAGATGGGTGCTGTTCAAATTTGATCTTCACCATCCTCTATACTTAGACAAGAGAACACACCAAATACTGCACTAACATTAGTTACTGTGAGTGGTAAGCCATCAATGTTTTAATTGTGTCCACTGTGTCTAAACAAAGAGATAAAGCCAATGCTTATTAGTAGACATCAGTACATAGACTACTTGAACCACACTACGTTCTGAACAAGGAAGTTTCAGCTAAAAGCCTTTTTTAAAAGATAACTGAAGAAAGGAACACAGTTGCTGTGAATTCCAAGAAGTTCTTTACACAGTATTTAAACACAGCTATTACAAGCACAGTCAGGCCCGTTGACAGCAATTTCGGGCCCCAGGGCAGAACAGTCAATGGGCCCCCACCCATGCACAAGCCGTCGCCCACACAAACATGATCTGCCTGATATTTGGGGATGGCTGGTGCCCAGCGAGCTGCTGACTGCACTGCTGGGCACGCTCTTCCGGCACAGGCAGGGCTTCTACATGCCCACCTGGTAGGGTTGCCAACTGTATGATCGCGCAAACCCAAAGACTCTTTCCCCGCCCCTGCCATAAGACCACGCTCCTGTCCCACGCCTTCTCCGAGGCCCCACCCTCTCCTTACTACATTCCTCCACCCTCCATCGCTTGCTCTCTCCCCACCCTCACTCACTTTCACCAGGCTAGGGCAGTGGGTTGGGGTGTGGGGTGCAAGCTCTGGGAGGGAGTTTGAGTGCAGGAGGGGGTGCAGGGTGCAGGCTCTAGGCTGGGGTAGAGGGTTGTCACTTACTTCGGGCGGCTCCTGAAAGCGACCAGCACACCCCTCTGGCAGCGGCTTCTAGGCGGGAGGCCCAGGGGGGTCTCAATGTACCGCTGCCTGCAGGCACTGCCCCCGCAGCTCCACTGGCCAATGGGAGTTGCAGAGTCAGCACTCGGGGCGGGGGCAGCGTGTGGAGATCCCCTGTCTCCCCCCCCACCCCCAAGGGCCGCAGGGATATGCAGGCCACTTCTGGGAAGGGTGCGGGGTGAGGGCCAGCAGGAAGCCTGTCTTAGCCCCGCTGTGCTGCTGGCGGCAGCTGGGGGTCCCCAGGCCCTTTTAAATCTCCTGGGCCCCTGGGCAATTGCCCCCTTTCCCTCCACCCCCCGTTGGCGGGCCTAAGCACAGTGCTAACTGCAGTGTAAACAAAGCTGTAGGAGATGAGATGCTGGTTTACATTAAGTATCCCTATTTGCTAATGAGCCAACAGTCCCACTTGGAGAACGTGTATTTGGAGAACGGGATACAAAATATATTGGAAGGACAGAACAGGTTGTGTGGGGGGTTGAGGGGGAGTGGCACTATATGTGAAAGAAAATGTACAATCAAATGAAGTAAAAATCTTAAATGAATCCACACGTTCCATAGAATCTCTAGGGATAGTAATTCCATGCTCTAATAAGAACATAACAGTAGGGATCTATTATCGACCACCTGACCGGGACAGTGATAGTGATGATGAAATGCTAAGAGAGATTAGAGAGGCTATCAAAATAAAGAACTCAATAACAGTGGAGGATTTCAATTATCCCCATATTGACTGGGTACATGTCACCTCAAGACAAAATGCAGAGACAAAATTTCTCGATACTTTAAATGAGTGCTTCTTGGAGCCGCTGGTACAGAACCTACAAGGGGAGAGGCAATACTTGATTTAGTCCTGAGTGGACTGCAGGATCTGGTCCAAGAGATAACTATTACAGGACCGCTTGGAAATAGAGACCATAATATAACAACATTTAACATACCTGTGGTGGGAAGAACACCTCAGCAGCCCAATACTGTGGTATTTAATTTCAGAAAGGTGAACTATGCAAAAATGAGGT